TACCTTTAGTCCCGATTGTTAATACCAACCGAGACTAAAGATCCCTGCCCCGCGGACGACCGTTGGGCAGAAACCTTCAATCCCGGTTGGTATTACCAATCGGGACTAAAGAAACCTTTAGTCTCGGGGGCAAAAAATGCAGAGGCTAATGCCAAATTGAGACATCGTTCTAAAGTCTGTTCTCTAGTAGTGTCTTGACGACAAAAGATGGCACTGCACACACATACTCCCTTTTTATCCCAAAATAAGTGTAGTTCTGGTTTCATAAGGAGTCAATCATTTTATCTTTGACTAAATATATAAAAGAAAATATATCATTATATAAAATCGTTGAATATATTTTTATAACTAGTAAATATGTCCATGCGTTGTTACGGATTTGTAATTTTTATCTCCCTGTTTCATTGTTTCCAACTGAGAATTTGAATTTGACCCTTGTTTGAAAACTAACTTTTTTTTATGAAATATGTCACGGCATCATCGTAGAATAGATAATTGTTCAGCAATAAATACGTGATAGAATATGTTGGAAATTAATAAGTAATTCACTAATATACTGTTTGAACTATATATGAACATGCATTATGACAGACTTTTTTCTCGTACATATTTTGTAGAGCACTGAAAATATAACGTCCAAAGTATACATCTTTTTCTTTAATAACTGTCAATGTTCCGAGAGTCGTTCCATGGTGTCTTGATAAGCTCTGTTGTTGCTGGAGCAAGTGATGTGTCAAATCAACGCATATAGCAGTCAACAATTATTATTTTATATATCTTTGTCTTTTACACATGTATCTATCATGCTTTTCTTTTATATTGTGTATGTCGACTATTGCCAAGTACAGTATGTCGACTATTTTTTTAATATTTAAATATCCTTTGTTTAATAGAACACATATCCGATTGTATTCTTGCCAAGGAGTTGGTCGTTTGAATTGTCCATTGTCCGCCACACAAAGATCTTTAGCCTATAGCGGGAACATCAAAATATAGCTGGTTCGTGTCATCGGCATGAAGCACCAACCCCTCCTTCACCCGTGACCCGCTGAACCCCAGCGACAGGTGCCAGCCATGTACGTGGTGGCGGCCGCACCACACCACCGCCGACGTGGATCAGCAAGCTAGTGTACAGTACATACGTTTACACAGCGGCAACAGAACTTCCATTACTGACGCTAAAATTATTATTCTGACTCTCATCCCATTGTGCCCCCATGTCCCAGGACTTACATTTAGGACTAAAATCTCTAACCAGTACAAACAACAAAAGCTCTGATCCTGATTTCTCTAATTATTATTGCTAACACACCCATAAATCACCATAACTTACAGGATTGACCTACTTGTACACCACTGAAGTACAATTTGGACAAACAGGAGACCTCCAATGACCTGCAATGCGTCGCTGGGATCCTGCATGCCATAGAATTCCAAACAACCTGCACAGGGAACTCGAAACAGCGACAATCCTTCGTTATTCACGCGTCCTAGCATGCCACAGAGAACTTAAAGCACACAACAGCGAAAAGTAGTCATGGATGGCAAGAATTACAACAACATCAAAGTCACAACAACAAAGTCTTTAAGTTCCAAACAAGTTAAGGTAGACTAGAGTTGAAACCCAGCAGAAGCAATCAAAGTTCAGACCCGTGAATAGTTGTTTTCCAAGCACTCCTATCTAAAGCTAATTGTTTGAATATATTACATCATTTCAAGTCTCCTTTTATTGCCTCTACCCAAATCAACTTCGATCTTCCTCTGCCTCTCTTCACGTTACTATCCTGACTTAGGATTCCACTACGCACCGGTGTCTCTAGAGGTCTCCGTTGGACATGTCCAAACCATCTCAACCGGTGTTGAACAAGCTTTTCTTCAATTAGTGCTACCCCTAATCTATCACGTATATCATCGTTCCGAACACGATCCCTTCTTGTATGACCGCAAATCCAACGCAACATACGTATTTCCGCGACACTTATCTGTAGAACATGTCGTCTTTTCGTAGGCCAACATTCTGCACCATACAACATAGCAGGTCTAATCGCCGTCCTATAAAACTTGCCTTTTAGCTTCTATGGTACCCTTTTGTCACATAGGACATCAGATGCTTGGCACTACTTCATCCACCCTGCTTTGATTCTATGGCTAACATCTTCATCAATATCTCCGTCTCTCTGTAGCATTGATCATAAATATCGAAAGGTATCCTTCCTAGGCACTACTTGACCTTCCAAACTAATATCTTCCTCCTCCCGAGTAGTAGTGCCGAAGTCACATCTCATATACTCAGTTTTAGTTCTACTGAGTCTAAAACCTTTGGACTCCAAAGTCTCCCGTCATAACTCCAGTTTCTGATTCACTCCTGTCCCGCTTTCATCAACTAGCACTACATCATTCGCGAAAAGCATCCACTAAGGGATGTCACCTTATATGTTCCTTGTGACCTCATCCATCACTAAGGCAGACAGATAAGAGCTCAAAGCTGATCCTTGATGTAGTCCTTTCCTAATCGGAAAGTTATCCATGTCTCCATCACTTGTTCGAACACTAGTCACAACATTGTTGTACATGTCCTTAATGAGCCCGACGTACTTCGTTGGGACTTTATGTTTGTCCAAAGCCCACCACATAACATTCCTTGACATTTTATCATAAGCCTTCTTCAAGTCAATAAAAACCATGTGTAGGTCCCTCTTCTTCTCCTTATACCGCAACATAACTTGTCTTATTAAGAAAATGGCTTCCATGGTTGACCTTTTAGGCATGAAACCAAATTGGTTCATAGAGACCCATGTTATCGCTCTCAAGCGATGCTCGATAACTCTCTCCCATAGCTTCATAGTATGGCTCATCAACTTAATTCCCCGGTAATTAGTACAACTTTGAATATCCCCTTTATTCTTGTAGATCGGTACCAATATACTTCTCCTCCACTCGTCAGGCATCTTGTTCGATCGAAAAATATAGTTGAACAGCTTGGTTAGCCATACTATAGCTATGTCCCCGAGGCATCTCCACACCTCGATTGGGATACATCCGGTCCCATCGCCTTACGTCCTTTCATCCTTTTCAACGCCTCTCTGACCTCAGATTCTTGGATTCTACGCACAAATCGCCTATTGATGTCATCAAAAGAGTCATCCAACTAAAAGGTTGTGTCCGTATTCTCACCATTGAACAATTTATTAAAATACTCTTGCCATCGATGTCGAATCTCATCCTCCTTCACCAAGAGATGCTCCCTTTCATCCTTAATGCACCTAACTTGATTGAAGTCCCTTGTCTTTCTCTCATGAACCCTAGCCATCCTATAAATCTCCTTCTTTCCTTCCTTCATACTCAAATGTTGGTAAAGATCCTCGTACGCTCTACCCTTTGCCACACTTATAGCTTGCTTTGCAGTCTTCTTTGCCACCTTGTACTTCTCTATGTTGTCCACACTCCTGTCATGGTACAAGCGTCTATAGCATTCTTTCTTCTCCTTAATAGCCCTTTGGACTTCCTCGTTCCACCACCAAGTATTTTTAGCCTCGCCTCCACTTCCTTTGGTTACTCCACACACCTCTGAGGCCACCTTCCGAATGTTAGTTGCCATCTTCTCCCACATTTTTATGTCCTCTTCTTCCTTCCAACAGCCCTCTTTGATACCCCTTTCCCTGAATACCTCTGACGTCTCCCCTTTTAGTTTCCACCACTTTGTTCTTTCAATCTTAGCTTGTTTATCCCCACAGGCACGCACCTAAAAATGAAAGTCTGCCACCAAAAACTTATATTGACAAACAACACACTCCCCTGGTATCACCTTGCAACCCAAGCATGCTCGTTTGTCCTTTCTTCTTGTGAGGACAAAGTCAATCTGGCTAGAGTGTTGTCCGCTACTGAAGGTCACTAGATGAGATTCTCTTTCTAAAGAAAGTGTTGGCTATCATCAGGTCAAAAGCTACCACGAAATCCAGAACTTCCCCTCCTGATTCTTACTACCATACCCAAAACCTCCATGAACTGCCTCGAAATCTGCGCTTGTAGTACCTACATACCCATTAAGATCTCCTCCTATAAAAAACTTCTCACTACTAGGTACAGCTCTAATCAGGCCATCTAAGTCTTCCCAGAACTGTCTCTTAGCACTCTCGTCAAGGCCTACTTGGGGGGCATATGCACTAATTACGTTCAAGACCATATCACCAACGGCAAGCTTGACTATGATAATCATATCTCCTTGCCTTCTCACTCTCACCACACCATTCTTGAGGCTCTTATCAATCAAAACTCCTACTCCATTTCTATTTGCGACTGTCCCTGTGTACCAAAGCTTAAAACATGTATTGTCCATCTCCTTCGCCTTCTGACCCTTCCATTTAGTCTCTTGAACGCATAATATATTTACACGCCTCCTAGTCGCGATATCAACTAATTCTCTTAACTTACCTGTAAGCGACCCTACATTCCAACTACCTAAACGGATCCTAGTTGGTTCGACTAGCTTCCTTACCCTTCGCACCCGTCGACTCAGATATGAAGACCCTTGCTCATTTTTCACTACACCCGGGCGCCGATGTAGCGCGCCACTAAGGAAGCGACGACCCGATCCTTGCTCACTTGACACCATGCCCAGATCGTGACATGGCACGTCACCAAGGGGATGCGGACCCAGCCCTTACCCATTTAACACCATACCCGGGTTCCGATATGGCGCGTCGCTAAGAGGGTACCCTAACAGTTTTTTTCGGGTTTCATCTCCATTAGAATTGCTAGATTTAACGTTGGCTCGCCACGCCTATCACAACCATCCTTCTTTATCAGGGCTTGGGACCTGCTATGTTAAGACAACATCGGCGGAGTTCATGGATGGCAAGAATTACTCTTCAAAATTAATGCAACAAAACTAAATAAACAGTACACAACAGAAGTGACAGCCTAAAACCACATAGGTTGTTGAATGACAACATATTGCCCACAAGGATACAAAGAGATGCTCACCTGGCGAAGAAAATTCTCTAGTGTCCCAAGTTGGCCATGGCCATCTGACCCATGTAGTTTGCCACATTTCCTGAAGAACCTGATGGACCAAGAGATCCAGCCAAAGTCTCTGCCAAAGATTGCTGCAATGCTTCCATGCCCTGTGAGAACGCATCCTCTGCTTGCTGGAAAGATTGCTGGAGGTTGGTTACTGCTCAGTTAGGGGCTCGAGGTGATTCGCTAGGAGCTGAAAATTTTAATTATGCTGAAAAATCAGCAATTTTAAATTCCCAGTGAGGGCACAGGAAAAACAAAAGACCGAGAATGAATATTTCACTCACCTTTGAAAGCTCATATGGACGAAAACCCCCAAGCCACAGGAAGCACCTTTCAGCAGGTGTCTTCCACATGCCTGAAAGTATATGAAATACATCAGCCTTTGCAGCAACACCTTGGACCTCGAATATTTCATCATAATGTGCCATTACGCCATCTAGAATAAGTCGTAGATCACTGTCACTTGCATGAGCATTCACTGCAGTACTCAACTCATTTATCTGCTTATTTTGGTCCTCTAGCCATCTAGCATATTCTATGTCAAAAGTAAACACTCCTGCAACAAGTTTATAATTTCAGATGCACTTCTAAGGATAAAGATAGCACTCAACCAAGATAGATTAATTAAATCCAGAAACACATAGAGCCACACAGATATAACGAATTAAAATATTTCCATTTCCACTCATGGCATAGGTTTGATCTCCAGAGCTGGAAATTAAGATTCCCTGAAAGTAATATCAAAGAGAGTCAAAATAACAGCACAAAGGTACTATTTTCCAAGCACTCAGTAAACATACATGCAACCATGAAAGTGTAACCTGCTGGTGAGCTTTCTGGAGTTCCTGCTCCAGTTGTGCAAGTTTCAGCTTACTGCTCTCTGGCTGCTGCACATATGCCTTCACCGAAGATGAGAAGTAAATTGTGATGGCTAATTTGATATATGGAGAACAGACGTACATCTTGTTGCTCCAAATTAATTTGACATGGATGGTTCAAGTTTGCAGGTGAGCCTCAACCACGATGCTTTTGATTTGAGAACTATGAAGATGAAGCTAAACAGTACGCTGTTAGCGTGTAGTTGGAAGAAAGCAAGATCATCTTATCTGAACTTAATCATACACAGCAGCAGCAGATATACTTTATAAGAACAAAAAATATTGAATGATCAAGATTGGCTGAAAAAACACAAAATTCTTTGGTCCAACCAAAATGAACCAGAATAAATCCTTTGGTCCACCAAATGAATCAGATTAAACTTCATTCATTCCCCAGAGGACCAGTCAGTTTTAGGAGCATCTAGATTTCCAGAGGAAACACTTAGTTATCTCTCTAATCAGAGCTTTATTCCATCATATGTTGTGCTATCTATAACATGTACCTCAGGCTTCAACAAGAATTCCAGTTCTTATGCGTGCTGATCAACGCTAAGAGCAGGCCAGCTGATGCCATTAACCGATCAGCATGGAGCTTCCGAGCAGACCTCTATCAAACTAAAATCAATGAGCCAATTATATCCAATTTGACTTGCAAATTAACAATCCAATAATAGTAGCATCGTATGCAATGCAAGCAATCGCACGGAACAACACCACACCAACTTGCTGTGATAGCTGTAGCGAAATCGCTGCAGGACAAACAAGACACAGGACGCCTAGTGCTGACAGCCTGACATGGCATGCATGGTGGGGCAGTATGTATAACCTGCTGCGCCGTTGGCTATCAAAATAATAATTAGTAAGGAAGCTAACCTTGTCGATCGTGTCTATGGCAAGAAGATTTGTTTCTTGCTCAGCTCGGCGAAATCAGAATTTGAAGGTGAGGTTTGTACGGCAAGATCGGGAGCTTCTCTGCTCGGCGAGATTAGGTACTTGTTCTGCTCGGCGAGATCAAGTAATTGTTCTGCTCATCGATGAAATCCCAATGGCACCTTCTAGTTTTATATAGAAGATCCAACCGAAGAAAAAAGCAAAAGGAATTCGTGTAGAACGTGGAGTTCGTAACATACCATAGATGTGGTGTTTGCTTTGATTCCAATCCAATTCCGATCCGATTCTGACTCTGACGATCAACACGGCGACGTCGGTAGCATAGGTTCCCGCAGGGGAACAGACTGGGGGCCTGTGATGGCCGGGACGGGCGGCCAGCCGGCCGACCGGCTGTGGCCGCGCTGAGCGGCCTGGGTTGCCGGCAGAGCCGTCATGTGTGGCCACGGTGGCCGCCCTGGATCCAAAGGACGAGGAGACGTTCCTCCGGCCTGCGCCCGCGCCGCCGTCCATCTCCCGGCGAGGAGACGCTACTCCGGCCTGTGCCCGCGCCGCCGTCGATCTCCAGTCGCGTCGCGCCGGCCTCAAGAGGGAACGAGCGCGTGGATCGCGGCTGCCACCTTCGGAGGGAGCGGAGAGGCGCAGAGGGATGGAATCCAGCTCGATTCCACGCCGGGCATGGCTGGAGAGATGGACCAGAGGAGGGAGAGACGGGCCGCGCCACGCCGTGCGGGAGAGACGGGAGCTAGGGAGATCCGCGCCGTGCGGGAGAGACGGAGGGGAGGGAGAACGGAGCGGATGAGGGAGAGTGGGCTTTTTTAGAGAAGCGAGGAAGAGGGCCGCGGAACGAGTGAGACAGTTAGGCCGAAGAATGGGCTAGAAAAAAAAGCTGAAATTTTACCTTTTTATTATTAAATATAGATAAACCAATTTAAAGATACTGCAACAACTACAAAGTCTTTAAGTTTCAGACAAGTTAGGGTAGACTAGAGTTGAAACCCAACACAAACAATAAGTTTCAGGCACGTGAATAGCTGTTTTCCGAGCACTCCTATCTAAGGCTAAGTCTTTGGGTATATTCCATCCTTTCAAGTCCCTTTTTATTGCCTCTACCTAAGTCAACTTCAGTCTTCCTATACCTCTCTTCACGTTACTATTCTGGGTTAGGATTCCACTACGCACCGGTGCCTCTAGAGATCTTCATTGGACATGTCCAAACCATTTCAACCGGTGTTGGACAAGCTTTTCTTCAATTGGTGCTACCCCTAATCTATCACGTATATCATCGTTCCAAACTCGATCCCTTCTTGTATGACCACAAATCCAACGTAACATACGTATTTCCGTAACACTTATCTGTTGAACATGTCATCTTTTCGTAGGCCAACATTCTGCGCCATACAACATAGCAGGTCTAATCGCTGTCATATAAAACTTACCTTTTAGCTTCTGTGGTACCTTTTGTCACATAGGACACCAGATGCTTGGCGCCACTTTATCTACCCTGCTTTGATTGTATGACTAACATCTTCATCAACATCCCCGTCTCTCTGTAGCATTGATCCTAAATATCGAAAGGTATCCTTCTTAGGCACTACTTGACATTCTAAACTAATATGTTCCTCCTCCTGAGTAGTAGTGCCGAAGTCACATCTTATATACTCAGTTTTAATTCTACTGAGTCTAAAATCTTTGGACTCTAAAGTCTTCCGCCATAACTCTAGTTTCTGATTCACTCCAGTCCGACTTTCATCAACTAGCACTACATCGTCCACGAAAAGTAAACACCAAGTGATGTCCCCTTATATGTCTCTTGTGACCTCATCCATCACAAAGGCAAACAGATAAGGGCTTAAAGCTGACCCTTGATGTAGTCCTATCCTAATCGAGAAGTCATCCGTGTCTCCGTCACTTGTTCGAATACTAGTCCAACATTGTTGTATATGTCCTTAATGAGCCCAACGTACTTCGTTGGGACTTTATGTTTGTCTAAAACTCACCACATAACATTCCTTGGTATTTTATCATAAGCCTTCTCCAAGTCAATAAAAATCATGTGTAGGTCCTTCTTGTTCTCCCTATATCGCTCCATAACTTGTCTTATTAAGAAAATGACTTTCATGATTGATCTTCCGAGTATAAAACCAAATTAGTTCATAGAGACCCGCGTTATTGCTCTTAAGCGATGCTCGATAACTCTCTCCCATAGCTTCATAGTATGGCTCATCAACTTAATTCTCTGGTAATTAGTACAATTTTGAATATCCCCTTTATTCTTGTAGATCGGTACCAATATACTTCTCCTCTACTTGTTAGGCATTTTGTTTGGTCGAAAAATATGGTTGAACAACTTGGTTAGCCATACTATAGCTATGTCCTCGAGGCATCTCCACGTCTTGATTGGGATACCATCCAGTCCCATCGCCTTACCTCTTTCATCCTTTTCAACGTCGCTCTGACATCAGATTCTTAGATTCTCCGCACAAAGTGTCTATTGGCGTCATCAAAAGAGTCATCCAACTAAAAGGTTGTGTCCGTATTCTCACCATTAAATAATTTATCAAAATACTCTTGCCATCGATGTCGGATCTCATCCTCCTTCACCAAGAGATGCTCCCTTTCATCCTTAATGCACTTAACTTGGTTGAAGTCCCTTGTCTTTCTCTCACGAACCCTAGCCATCCTATAAATATCATTCTCTCCTTCCTTCATACTCAAATGTTGGTAAAGATTCTCGTACGCTCTGCACTTTACCACACTTACAGCTCACTTTGCAGTCTTCTTTGCCACCTTGTATTTCTTTATGTTGTCCACACTCCTGTCATGGTACAAGCGTTTATAGCATTCTTTCTTCTTCTTAATAGCCCTTTGGACTTACTTGTTTCGCCACCAAGTATCTTTAGCCTCGCCTCCACTTCCTTTGGTTACTTCACACACCTCTAAGGTCACCTTCCGAATGTTGGTTGTCATCTTCGTTCACATGTTGTTTATGTCCTATTCTTCCTTCCAAGAGCCCTTTTTATAACTCTTTCCCTAAATACCTCTTACGTCTGCCCTTTCAGTTTCCACCACTTTGTTCTTTTAATATATTTTTTGAAAATACAAATGTTACTAATATTTTCTACAAATCTAATCAAATTTAAGAAAGTTTTAAATGTGTGACTTTCATTGCTCATATGCTGATTGCTCAACAAGGTTCCTTTTAAGAAAGCTTTTAAAATCGTCAGGGATGATGCACCGGATCCTGACGGATGAACGCAGGCACGCAGCGTACTTTTTTTTATAATGGGTGACTTTCATTACTCATGTGCTGATTGCTCATCAGCAACAATTACAGCAATATGACCCGGTACCGAGCTCAAAGTTTGCTCAGACTCTTCCACACAAGCACACCCAAGAATTGCTCTCTCATGCGGCCTGTTCGGTTGGCTGGTTCGTTTCGTTGCTGGTTCGTGAAGAAGTATGACTGGCTGGTTTGTATGAGAGAAAAATACTGTTTCGACTGAAAATTTATGATCGTTTAAGACAAGCCATAGCCAGACAAACAGGCTGCTTGTTTACAAACTCTGGGGACACAGCGTACTTGACTCATCATGAGTAAGAAACGATTAGATGAAGCGACGAACACAGCGTACTTGACTCATCATGAGTAAGAAACGATAAGACCCGTTGTTTGGGCTTTGGGGGCCTTGAGGCTTGTGGGCTGACACATTGTAATATGGGCTTTCTAAAGAAAGCAGCCATATACTATGACGCCCTGACGCCATCCACCACGCAGACACACCCGCACGTTGCTACACTGCCCGGCTACTCCTGCAACCTTGACCGAGTTGCGAGTTGCGACTTTTGCCAACGGATACCTCTTGCAACCTTGATTTTCAACACGTGTATTGAGGTCACAGCCGCACTAAAATTCGGCACAGACGCCATAACATATTTTGTGCTTGTCAACGAGCAGGACGTGTATGTATATAAACCATTTTAACCAGAGTTATTATTTTACGCAAACACTTATTTTCGCACAGGCGTGCGAGAACGTTTCTGCGTGCACGCACAAGAAGACAAAAAGGCAGGCCAACTCACCCGTCATTGGCACTGCCCCCGGCGGAGAAGAAGGCCGCGCTGTATCGCGACGGCGTGACCCGTGCCTTCTCTCACCCTCTCATCTTCCCCAACTCCTGCAGACTTAGAATGGG